GGCCATTGTGCAATTAATGAAAGTTATTGCTCAATGCCTTGTTTTGAGTCTGGATTCTCGTATGAGATTCATTTTCATATTTTTTTGAGTCGTGGACTCTTAGAATTTCCTCCTGGATGATGTTTTCCAGTTTCAGGGTTTCTGGCCTTAGTTTGCGCCAAACTTGTTTTGGACATAACTTTCTGCTCGAGACTCAGTTTTCAACGCCGTTTCTTCCGTTGTTCATATTTTCTCATTTGGAATCTTTTTCATTCATAGAGTTCTGCCGTTTGAATGCATCTGCTCAAATTTCACTTTTTCAGACCCGGTGGGGCCCGTCCGGGGCACTTTTTTGAGTTTTTTTATAAATAGGGGGCCTTTAAGTGAAAAATTAGATTTTTGCTCTCTCTGTCCTCTCTCTTGGCCGGATCTAGAGGCAGCCATGGCTGCCATCTTCTCTCTCTTCTTTTGAGCTTCTTCCCTTTAATGAAATACCTTAATGCCTTAGTGTTTATTGTTCCCCTCGGCGAGGCCTTCGATTCCAACCGATTGGAATCTCGTTTTGGCCATTACTTGAGTTCAGGTTTCAAGTCAAGTTGTGTTTTTTATGGGACTTCCTTGGGATTCGTGTTCGTGGTGTTGTCCCCGACAAAACTTAGGAGTTTCGTCGGATTCGGAGCCGATTTATTTTGGTGGGGATTTGAAATTTCATCTCAAATAGAGGTAGGAAATGTTTTAGGATTGTTTGTGTGTTGTATTATGTATTTGCCATGATTATATAACATATATGTATGCCTTGTATCAAATCTAGAAAGTTAGTAATTTTTATTTCTTTGTATAAGATTTAAAATTCATGATGATGTGTAACTTTGATTTGAATTGTGGTATGGTAGAAACTCTTATTTTAATATGTTGGTTAACATATATTAAATTTGGATTAATTAAATAAGAATTGCTCTTTTTAATTAATATTTACCTTTTGTGAAAGATTAAAGTTCATGGCCGTACCTTGCATGAAATTGAGTTGTATTATGCTTCTAAATTGAGTTTTGGCATGTTTGTTAACATACTTTAATTTGAGAGCATTTGGTTGAGTTTGGAAATCTAGAGACTTTAATTAAGAGAATTAATTAAAATCTATTTTTGTGGTTTCATGGGCCTAATTAAGCTTTTGTGTGAATATATGTAATGACCATGATATGTCTATTAGCATATATTAAATTGGGGCCAATTGAAAATGATTTGAAATCTAGAAAGTTTAATTATTTTGATGTAATTAGATTCTATCTTGTTTATCCATGGATTTAATCATGTTTTAGAAGGTGTTTCTACTTTAAGATCATGGATTTAGACTTGTGAAGTATTCACTTGACTGTGTTATATGCATTGAAGGGCATTGTTGTTAAATTTATATTCATGAGAGTATGTTTCTAATATGAATATATTGTTGGCTTGTGATTTCGTAGCATTATGGATATGAAATGCTTATTATGCACAATTGAGAGTTATATTGCTAACTTGTTACTATATAGTAGTAATATGTATAAGTTATGAACTTATTTAGTTTATTTTGGAATTTTGGAATATTGTTGAGTTGAGATGGCTAGGGTTTGGCTCTAGTACGGGGACGTGAGTCCTCTAAGTCATTGAGATAATGCGCACTTAGGGTGGTCTTCCCTGCGGGTTAGTGCCCGGAATAACCATTGAGGTCTCGGCAGAATTCCGAGCGTGATATCCAAGTCTTCCACTATTTGTTTTCGTATTCAATTCCAAGTTGACAATCATATTTACCTTGTTGACTTGTGGTTTTGACTATTGGCGATTTTGATGTTGTTAAGTATATCCATACTAAATTGATATATTTAGTTGATTTCACACTTTTAGATTTCTAGCTGATAACCTAGAGAATCTATGTCTTGATGTGTGGTATTAGATATTCTAATTATGCTAAATTGTTATATTTCGTTGATGTTGCATTTTAGACTTCAAGTTGATAACCTTGAGAATCTATATGTTGTTGCTTTGTGTAAGCATGCTCCTATGTTGTTGCTTTATGTAAGCATGCTCTTATGTTGTTGCTTTGTATAAGCATAACCCTATGTTGCTAAAATTGCATGAATGAGGTGATTGATGCTAGAAATGATCTTAGGTAGCTAGGATGCTCCTTGAGTCTCACCTTTGACATAGACATTAGGTGGAATGAACCACAATAATTAAATCATGCAAACTTGTAAAACGTAGGTCGATGCATGCTCATTTCCTACGAGTAGCTTTATGTTACTCACCCCTACGATACTGGGGCATATTTCAGGTACAAGAATTAAAGTTGAGACTTTCATTATGCTTGGATGACTTGTGGACTTGAAGACTTCCATTTTTGTGAAGGTTGGCTCGGAATGCCAATTGTAGTCTTATATGTCAACATGTGTACATTTGACTACATATATGTAATGTGTACATGAGTACACTCTTTACAATGTATTTGACATGTATGAGATGAGGCCGAAGGCCAATGACATGTAATTTGTATCCTATGTAATTTTTGACTTCATGGAGAATTATGAAAGTATTGAAGAATATTGAGTTTTTGCTTCACCATGTTTGCATTGGGTGTGGGAATTCCATTTTGTTTCTTCTATTAGTATTCATTAATTATGTATGAAGAATGGCCAAGGGCCAAATGGCATTTTGAAATCATCTCATGATTTTAAATTCCAAGTTTTCGTTTCAAACTTTATTTTTGGCATTTTGGCCGTTAGGGGGTCATATTTTGTATCGGCCATATTTTTGGGCCATGGACCATTGTAGCACATCTCACTAGGTAAGTTACGTTTGCGTGCATGGTCGTTTCCGGGCAAAGCTTCTTCTTTGGTGAAATGAGCCTCATACGGACTCATTTTACACTTTTGTTGCATATTCTGATCTAAAGGTATTTTGGGAATTTTCTTTGAGAAATAAATTCCGTTCTTCACATGGTTGAATAGAAAATGTGATTTTAGGGGGGGTTTCTTCTTCGTGTTTTTCCGGAAAATGTTGTCTTGGCATCGGAAACCATTTCTGAAGTTCAGCTCTCAGTTTTTAAATTTAGCAGCTTTTTGGACCTCTATGACCAGATTTCATGGAGGGGCATTTTACATTGCGTATTTTTCGATTTTTTCCTAAAGTCATGTAGAAAACTCGATTTTGAAGGGGGTTTCTTCTTTGAGTTTTTCCAGAAAATGTCATCTTGGCCCTCAAATTTCCATTTTTTCCAGAAAAACCCCTACTGCCAGGTTTCTGGGTCGCACTATTCTGCCGCCTTCACATCTAAACGGTTACGAGGGGTTTCGTAACCGTTTAGATGAGTGTGGGCAGTGTTTTTCTCATGATTTTTGGCCTTCTAACTTGTTAGGAAGGTCTCCTAACCGGTTAGATGATCTAGGGTTTGCACTTTTTGACTGTTTTGCCCCTTCTTCTTCCATTAGCCATATCTTCTTTATCAGGACTCCGAATCAAGCGATTTTTGAGTCTAAGTTTATTAATTTTTCGTTGTCTTTCCAATGGTGTGCTCGGTGGCACTCACTTTTAAGTTAGAAATGACATTTTTGCCCCTAGGACCATTCTTGTCCGTTTTTGAAACATTGCTTCCGCATTTGTTTCATTTGGGTTCCGTGACCTTATTGAGGGTCATAATGGTGTCTTAGAGCCATATTGTATCTCTAGAGGTCATTGTTTTATCTTTTGCTTCCGCATTTCGGATCTGTTATCGGATCATCTTTCCGTTCATCACTGGCGCACCGGGTTGAAAAACTTGGGTCGTCTCAACACTTGACCTCTATGCAATACGAAGGGGTAGTTGACTCTAATTAAATGTGTTAGTGTGCTTGGAGTATACTGAACTGAATTACCATAAGATCACACTATACAAATTACTGTCATTATTTTGTTATGATTCTTATCTACTAGATACAATAAACTCTAAATCCCGAGAGATTTAATGGACTCAAGTTTCAATTCGGTCAATTTGACTTACCAACAAGTGAGTTCTTTTAAGTTTAATATCATGGTATCTTAGTTAACTAATGTTGGAGCTGTAGGAACGCAAATATTAAACATAGAATCCACACTCTTTATAAGAGTAAAAGAGTATCCCATTAATACAATTTAATTATAAGTGTGCTCTGATGCAATTTAATAAGTGTAATCATTGGAACCTCGATAGGGCATTTTAGTAAAATGTTCACTACATTATTTTTCTAATATTTATGTAGAAAATTATTTTATAAAATTTTCTAATTTAGTGATCATAAGGTTTTAAATTGGTGACTAAACAAATATAAGTAAGTATTTCTTAGGTAGGACATTATTTAATTTTCCTAGGGGCTGCTTATGGATATTTGGTAGTGAAAGGGTTTATATGTAATTATTTAATAAGAGAGGACTTTTTTTATAGATTTCAAATATTAAAGTACAATTACAATAACATAATAAATATTATTATAATTAATTAAATATCGTAGCGTTGTAAGATAACTCACGTCTATTCAATTGGCGTTAAGATAAGATTCCCCATCATGAGATGTTATATATACACGGTGGTTTGCTAAGTCTTTATTGAAGATAACAAACGTAAATATCATATTCTATAGAGAGAGAGAGAGAGAGTGAGACTAATATACAAAGAATTTCCTCAAGCCAGTCTCTCTGTTCGGGGTAAAGGAGGTGAAGCTTCACTAATGTTTAAGATTAAATGAGAAAGAGTGCTCTGGTATTTGATGATAATCAATGGTACAAAGGTATGACATATTTTAATGGTTCTTGATTTAGTGAAATATCACATGATTTGAGATTCTGATTTTTTTTTTTTTTTTTTTTTTTTTTTTTTTTTTTTTTAATATCTGCTTCCGTTTTGACATCAAATTTCACTTCAAAAGTTTTTAAGATAATTAAGTTTTGAAAATATAGTTCTAGATTCCCATTTTACTTCTATTTCAGAAATATGCAATGACGGGTCAATAATGCATAAACCGGAAAACAGTCAATAAATCCCAAAAGAAATCACAAATTCATATAATAAACTTTGAAGCTAACGAAAAATGGAACAATACATTACTCATTGGGAGCATAACATAACACAAAAGGCACATCTTTTTCATTTTATGGTTTATTTTTTATTTTTTATTTTTTATTTTATTTTATTTTATGAAACACCATAACAATAGGATAGGATCCAACAGAAAAAGAAAAGAAATGACGAATAGGAACATATATAACAACCCCATTGCTCTAGGATATGCAGAAGCTTCTTATTACTTATGGGTTTAGAAAATGATAAAAGAAACGAACCGAACAACCGAATGGAGAAGCCGAAAATTCCTCATTTGGATCCCACTTGTTGAATCTGAAGACTGGAGAGGCTTCGAGCCCTCCGTGCTCTCAAAATAATTCTTCTTTGCGTTTTAGAACGATGAATAAGTCAACATCCTTATGGACTTCCTTGTCGAAGATGTATGAATTTTCGGCTAGTTTCTGCGTATAGAGATCGAACAAGGGGTCCATAATTTCATTTCCAAAATGTTTCGTTATGCTCCCCTCCATTATTGCTCGTTCTTGTGCTGAAGTCATTTTGGGATCAAATGGCAAATGCTTCATGGGATGGTCCAACACGCCCGCCTTCTCTATGGTAAAACACTTGTTCATGTCTACCACCATTTCCAGATCCTCAATTGATGGATGGTACTGAGGCACGTTGTAGGTGTCCACTTTTTCTTCACTTGTATACCCCTGCAATAATAATGGACAACCCACTTAATTAATTTGTTTATTGAATTATATTAAAATAAACAGGATTAATTAGTTCCAACAATACATAGATAGTACCTAGGAAGTCATTTGCTTCAATTTTTGGATCTCGTCTTAGAAACCCAAAACATGTTTAATTAGGTATCTTGAATCTTTTCTGCTCTTCTTCTTCACATCCTTTCATGTCCAGTCAAATAAGACAGAGATTTGTTTATACTGATAAACTCTGAAATCTTTCATTTGAATAGGCAAAATGGTTAAAACCTTTGCGGATCTTTCTTATTTTATTTATTTACTTCCTTCTTAGATGCTATGTCGTGGGGTAAATTTCAGTTATCTCATCTAAATTTTGTAAATATTTCATATACAGTTCTATTACTTTTCATAATTTCACTTATTTATCTTATTAATGACTTTATTTTTATTTTTTTTTAATTTTTTGTCCACAAAATGTTTTTATTATTTCAGGCATTAAGAAGGCAAAATAATGAGACGGGATTAAATCACAATCTCGAGAAGTAAGTGAAATTATGAAGCTTGGAGAAGCCTATGCAGGATATTGACAAACCTATAAGAGATAATCGCAATTTATCCTAATTAAGGTGTATAAAGTTGATATTGCTTAATTACAGTGAAGTGGGACTAGCTAATAGTTATATGAACACACCATTGTTTTGGGTACGTAGCTGATATCTAGAGTAATAATAATATTAATAATAATAATAACCAATTTTTTAAGATGAGTCCAATTGGTACCAAACTAATTAATTTGACCCAATGATGTTTAACTAATTTTGAATAGAAGTAATTGGTTCTTACCATTTTAGCCATCTCAACGAGGCAAGATCCCAAGATGAAATGGATCATACCAGCACCAGTCTGAGAGAAAAGGCCTCCATTCCTAATACCAGGCAACTGAATCAGCATCAAGCCTCCCCCAACCATTTCCTGGGCTCGAGCTTTCAAGAACCCATCCATGTCTTTCTGAAACTGGCCAAAAAATGCCTTGGTCACATGCTCATCACTGCCTGTGTAGTGAATTTTGCCTTTGTTCCAAGCAGGAGAGTCTCTATCTAGGACTTCCTTGGGAACCTTGGAGAGCCACTGCAGGGCATAGGAGGAGTGAAGAAAATGGAGAGTGTTCTTTGGAAACAACCGGCCGTAAAAGGAACCGGGCACTCCAGCAGCGAAGTAACCCGGAGATGCCCCGGTGTTATGAGGGAGGGATCTGAAGAGAACGTTGAAGTCATTGTCTGTGTGGTCATTGAAGAAAACATGGAACTCCGGGGAGGTTTGAGGGAGGGACTGGTATTTGAGTTTCACTGCTTCGACTACGTTTTGCATTGCAAAGAAGGTGTTTGGTCCTGTAGAACAGCCAAGGTCTGCAATCCGAAATGGGTTTGAAGAATCAAAACAAGGGTTTCCTAGGTCGAGCTTCTCTGCAACTACTTGAAAGATCACATCCCTTGCTGCATCTACCACTCCTTTCTGTGATGAATAATTAAGAAAAATATTGCTTACACACATATAATGAGTATTATTTCGTCTAGTAATACTGTATAATCGGTACTCTCGTAAATATATATAAACACACTAAATAGTAATTATTGTGTTGACACTAAAAATACATTAGAGAAAGCAAGACAACTGAAGCAAACGTACTGATCTAATAAAATGTGGTATAATACCTGATAGCTGGAATTCTGAACATAGCTATTTGGGCCCTGACCACCGTTCATCGGATATTGGACTTCAATGGCATCCATTGTTGTGGCTTTCTCTATCTCTCTCACTCTCTTTTTGTGTGGGCGCGCGTTTGTGTGTGTGAGAGGGAGAGAGAGTAGATGGAGTGAGCTGGGGAGCATGGAATCTTTATATAGGCACCAAGAGGTTCTGTATTGTAAATTTGTGAACATCAATGCAAGTCCCACGTGATGTTTGGAACGGATCCGGATCCACGTGAGATTGTGTTGCATCGATATGTATATTAAAAAATTCCAAGAGATGGGTAAAAGCAATAATAGATTCAAGTTATGGAGTAGTTGTGTGTATTCGTTTGGTATCAACCGGAAACCGGCTTGCACTTTCAAATCAATTACTGGAAAGGATGGCTGGCGTCAAAGAAACTGGATGAAACTGGATCTTCATCTTCCATTATATATTTTTATATACACACACACACACCAGGACAAATGATGAATTATTACGATTAAATGCAAAAAAAAAAAACTTATATGATTAGAGTGCATATACTGTTTTTTTATATATATATTAAAAAACTCCAAGAGATAAGGTAAGCAATAGTAGATTCAAAAAAAAAAATAATAATAATAATAATAGTTTCGTTACGGAGTAGTTGTGTGTGTATTCGTTTGGTATCTGTGAAGTTCGATCGATCTCAAAACTTCGATCGATCTAAAAAACTGAGTTCGATCGATCTCTCAAGATCGATCTGAGATAGAAGTTCGATCGATCGAACTGTGCGAAGATGAAAACTGAAAGGTCACAGATCTGTGACTTTGGAAGCACAGGGGCCACACGAACATTGTCATGGGCCCATCAACACATCATTCAATTAATCCTACTCACTTTATAAAGCCCATACTCCCACAAAGCGAACCAAAACACACAAATATATACACAACATATATACACATATATACATATATAAACACAATGCTTCAAGCTTCATCAATGGTGGATTTCATCATCAATATATCATGGATTAAACATTTAAAACATGTATTTAACAACTTGAAGCTTGAAATCAAAGATGGGGTTCGGATCTTACCCAAAATGGAGGAGAGAAAATAAGATGCGAAGGGGGTGATGCAAACTCAGATCCGAAAGGAGAGAGAAGAGAGAGAGAGAGAGAGTCGAAGCTCACTAGATCTCGCAGGAGATTCGCCGGAGATGATGATGAAGATGGGTACACAGTGGCGACAGGAATGAAGGATTGAGGGTTTGGAAAAGGGTTGGATCGATCTAAAGAATCGATCATTAAACCCTCAGGTTCTATTTTTTAAAGACTTTTCCGGATTAGTTTGATCAATCGAACTGAGATTTCAGATCGATCGAACTTTGATGATCTCTCGTGAAAGTATTTTTAGAATTTTAGAATTTTTTTTTTCCAATAAAATAAAATCCTTTTTGGGATTTTTGAAATAGAATAAAAATATTTTTGAATTTTTAAAATTTAAAAGTCAAACAAAGTCAAAGATGGTGAGATGAAGAACTGAGATCGATTTGAACAAAATGTTCGATCGATTAGACAGAGAGCAAAAATATGCAAGTTTTTGGTTCAAAATTTTGGTTAAGTGTTGGAACTTGCAGATCAATCAAACTTTGAAGTTGGATCGATTGAAGAACTTCAGATCGATCTTGAAATGTTTTCAATCGATGAGACAGAGAGCTAAAATATGCAGGTTGATGCAGGCTCAAAATTTTTCTAAGTGTTGGAGCACGAGATCGATCAAACTTTGAAGTTGGATCGATTTAAGGTCTTCTGATCAATCTGAGAATAAGTTCGAACGATGGGACAGAGAGGTGATTTGGATGCAAATGGATGCAGGTTGAAAATTTTTCTAAGTGTTGGATGCAGGTGGAAGTTCGATCGATCGAACTCTTGTTTGAGATCTATCGAACTTATGCAGAATGCTCAATCACAACACAAAATTTCATGCGATCCTAGTCACAGTTCCTAGCAATGCATATGAACCCAAAGCCAATATCTAGACTTCGCAAGAAATGAAATGTAAGATAGAAATGAGGGAGGAATAGGGTTTTGACACTCTACGAAATGTTTTGCTAGTCTTTAACGTCTCTAGCAAGACGTTAGACTCTTTTAGCCCGGATCAAAGATCTTGTTATGCATCCCCTCCTTGTTGGGGTGATAAATGCTTTGAACTCCACCTAACAAATGGTTTTTTGAAGAACTTGTTGGATTAATTTCAAAAGAACCTTTTGGTCCCTTGTTAATGCAATTTTCTATGTTTTCATACACCGGGTCAACTAGATGTGCAGCTTCCAAATGTCTTTGAAAGACTTGACCCTCGATGTAAGGTTTCAACCTCTATCCATTAACCTTAAAAATATTTCCCTTCTTCCTATTTTTGATTTCAACCGCCCCATGAGGTGCAACAGAGATGATTTCATAAGGACCCTCCGATTTGGTTCTCAATTTCCCAGGAAAGAGTTTCAGTCTAGAGTTAAAAAGCCAAGCTTTTTGACCGGGTTCCAAAGAATTTTTCACAATATGCTTATCATGAAAGGCTTTGGTTCTTTCTTTGTAAAGTTTGGCATTATCATAAGCATTGTGTCTCAATTCTTCTAACTCACTCAATTAAAGTAGCCTATTCTCTCCGGTTTTATCAAGGTCAAAATTGAGCTTTTTAACCGCCCACAAGGCTTTATGTTCTAACTCAACCGGAAGATGGCAAGGCTTTCCATATACAAGCTTATAAGGAGACATAACAATGGGAGTCCTATATGCCATCCGATAAGCCCACAAAGCATCATTTAGCTTCCTTGACCAATCCTTCCGGGTGGTGTTAACCGTTTTCTCAAGAATATGCTTAATTTCCCAGTTAGACACTTCAACTTGCCCGCTTGTTTAAGGATGGTAGGGGAATGGCTACCTTATGAGTGACAAAGTATTTAAGAAATAAATGCCTTAGGAATTGATTGCAAAAATATTTTCCTCCATCACTTATTATAGCCCTTGGCATACCAAAATGAGCAAAGATATTGGATTTAATGAATTGAATGACCACGGAGTGGTCATTTGTTTTGGTAGCACATGCTTCCACCCACTTGGAAACATAATCAACGGCAAGAAGAATGTATTGAAAACCGTAAGACATAGGAAATGGACCTATAAAATCAATGCCCTATATATCAAAGACCTCAACAACAAGTATATTGGTCAAGGGCATCATATCTCTTCTAGACATTGTTCCCATCTTTTGACATCTCTCACATGATTTGCAAAATTGTAGGCATCTCTATGAATAGTGGGCCAAAAGAGCCCACTTTGAAGAACCTTCAAGGTGGTCTTCTTTGCACTAAAATGCCCGCTACATGCAAGAGTGTGACAAAACACTAGGACGCTTGGAATTTCACTCTCCGGAATGCATTTCCTCACAATTTGATCTGGATAATGTCGATATAAGACAGGGTCTTCCCAATAGTAATTCCGGATGTTGGCAAAGAAACGATTTTTTTCGTTCTTCAACCAAGAAGTTGGTAGCTTGCCTACTGCCAAATAATTCATAATGTCGGTAAACCAAGGCATTTATCTATTAGAAATTTGAAAGAGTTGTTCATCCGGAAAAGAGTCACAAATTGGTAGACTAAGGAAAGGCCATATCGATAACCTAGAAAGATGATTGGCAACCACATTTTCGATGCCTTTCTTGTCCTTGATTTCAAAATCGAATTCCTGAAGAAGCAAAATCCATCTAATTAACCTAGGTTTTGTTTCCCTTTTTGTCAATAGATGTCTCAAGGCGGCATGATCAGAATAAACAACAACCTTCGACACTAAGAGATAGAAACGAAATTTATCAAGAGCATACATTACGGCAAGTAATTCTTTCTCGGTAGTAGAGTAATTCAATTGAGCTCCCCAGAAAGTTTTACTTGCATAGTAGATGGCACAAGGAAGCTTACCCACTCTTTGTCCCAAAACTGCTCCCATGCCATAATTAGAAGCATCACACATGATTTCAAATGGCAATGACCAATTAGGAGGTTGCATGACAGGAGCAGATGATAATAATTCACGCAATTTATGAAAAGCGTCTAAGCATGCTTAGTCAAAGACAAAAGGAGTTTCCTTAGCAAGAATATTGCACAAGGGTCGAGTAATTTTGCTAAAGTCTTTGATAAAAGGACGGTAAAAGCTAGCATGACCTAGAAAGGAGTGAACCTCTCTCACCGTTGAAGGTGGAGGCAATTCAGAAATAAGCTCAACCTTCGCTTTATCTACCTCTATTCCTCTCCTTGAGATAACATGACCCAAAACAATATCCTCTTGAACCATGAAATGGCTCTTTTCCCAGCTAAGTACAAGGTTGGTTTCACGACATCTCTTAAGCACTGGATCTAAATTTTTGAGGCATGCATTAAATGAAGACCCAAAAACAAAAAAATCATCCATGAAAACCTCTAGATACTCTTCCACCATATCTGAGAAAATTGACATTATACACCTTTGGAATGTGGCGGGTGCATTGCACAAACCAAAAGGCATCCGTCTATAAGCAAATGTGTCGAATGGACATGTAAATGTGGTTTTCTCTTGGTCTAATAGGTCGAGGGCTACTTGATTGTACCCTAAATAGCCATCAAGGAAGCAATAATATTATTGCCTAGCCAATCTCTCTAGAATTTGATCAATGAATGGCAAGGGAAAGTGATCCTTTCTAGTGGCGGCATTCAATTTGCGGTAATCAACGCATACATGCCATGAATTGGTGGTACACTTAGAGATTTCCTCACCCTTTGCAATCTCAACCACCGTAATCCCCGATTTTTTGGGAACTACTTAAGTTGGACTCACCCATTTGCTATCGGAGATTGGGTAAATGAATCTGGCATCTAAGAGTTTGACAACTTCCTTCTTAACTACCTCATTCATGTTTCGATTAAGTCTCCTTTGGGCATCCCTAAAGGGTTTTGCATCATCTTCCATAAGTATGCGATGCATACAAATAGAAGGGTCAATTCCCTTAAGATCCGCCACACTCCATCCTATAGCTTCCCTATTTTCTTTAAGCACACTTAAGAGAGCATCTTCTTGGTCTTTTTCAAGACTTAAAGAAACAATAACCGGAAGAGTCTCCTTTGGTCCTAAGAATGCATACTTGAGATTGGAAGGTAGAGTTTTTAGCTCAAGAGTTGGTGGAGAAACTAAAGATGAGACCGGTGGAGTGC